AGTCTTTTTAATGCTTGGATCTCACCCTCATAGACCGGTCTATGTTAATGTTAAGTTTTTTTTTTTCTTTTGACAAGCAACTTGTAAATATTTTTCCTTATTTTCCAAGGTTATCCTATAATCGAAGATGTTACATCCCAAAATTTGGGTCCTAAAATTACTCCCAGATTGAGTTTTACCAAAGGGAGTAAAGGGACAATATGCTCACGTAAGAGCACGAAATCGTTTGGCATATATCAAAATCAAAGAAAATAATTATCTTTAAATATATGACAGGTTGATTGGCGATACTTACGAAGACTTAACAAAAATGTGACATTTTATATTTATTGATACTTTTGAGAAACAACAAACTTATAGTGGATATAATGGGGGATTTAAAAAGGAACTTGATATACTAAGGTCAGCTTTTCCTATCTTGTTTCAAAAATGGAGAAAGTGATATTTATTTCCCTTTTATTTCAAGCCATATACAGCATCATAATGATTTACAATTGCCGGTGTAAACCTCAAAATCGCAATATTTATCCTTAAAATATTATATATCAGTGTAGGCAGGGACCATACTATTAGTGTCTGCCGAAATAAACCAACATGTTAACGTTCTTCTGAACCACGGGAGGAAGTGTTAAAAAACGGGGAATGTGGAGACGATGTTTTTAAGTGCCATGGGCACCAAACTTAAGTTTTGGGATGAATGAAGTAAGAGTGTGGTTTGTATGATGTTCCAATCTTAAACAATCAAAGTAAGGAGCACCTCTAAATCTTGCTAAAATATGCAGTTTCGTGATTTTTTAAAATAAAATAAAATAAAATAAAAGAACAAAAAGATGTAGTTTGAGTGTTGAAAATCCTTATGATAACTAAAAAAATGTATTTTCGCCTGAATTTCTAAATTCAAAAACTAGTGTAGATCAAGTAGATCTATAAGTACCTACAAATTTTGAAAATAGATGTTCCAGACAATATGTTATAATACATACTAAGTTTATAACTTGAAATCCTCCTTTTTTTTTCCGATATCCATGTGTCTGAAGGTCGAGATGATTAAATGTTGGGTTACTTGATAAGTACTTCTGGATAGATTTCTGAAGTGCAGCTTACTTTATAACATAAGGTGGACATCTTATATAAAATTTTTCCTTTAATTAAATTTATTATTATTTATTTATCATAATAAGTTTATATAAGGTGACTGTCTTACTTGTAAAAATATGGTTGTTGTAATCTACACTCTATTTTAGTTTGAAAGTGCAAATTAATAGACGGTATGGACCACTAGAATTTTACTTTTATAAATATCATTAACACTTTATATAAGCCATACCCTTGGCCTTATTGATTTGTATATTTCTACTTTGTACTTTTTAGTGTAATATTGATGGGATTTAACCTATAGGGTTTTACATGATGTTATCCATGTGCATAATTATCATCATCATTCGAGCTTTATCCCAACTATATTCCTCATGATTATAAGAATTTCAATCTTGTGAAGGACATAATTAGTGTTTTTAATCTTGTAATGCGTTGATTGTGCTCTCCAATATGCTGATTTGAACCGGTGATTTTGATATAGAACGATTGATTATTATGGGACAAAAATAATACAATATTTGGGAGAAAAAACTTCAGAATTAAGTTAACAGTGAGATTTGTGTAAGGTTCCATCTTTACACGATAAGTAAGGTGCACCTCTTGATTTTGAGTGGAGATATAGTTTATGTGTCGGAAACTTAATGAACTCTTGAAAATATAGTTTTGTCTCTTATTATGATATTTAAAACACCAAAAATGATGTAGATTGAACACTTGAAAATAAACGATCTAGATGATTTATTGCAAGATGCATTATTTTTAAAACTTGAAAATTATTATTTTTTAATCCATAATGTCAAGAAGATTTGATTGGATGATTTCCAACATTGAAACATTCTTTTCTACATAATTTTAAGGTACTTCTTCCTTCAATAGTATAAAGTTGACACCTTATATAAACTCTTTCCTTAAGCTAAAATCGTCCTTGTTCTCTAACCCATATCACTAATTCTACTTAAAGAGTTGCATCTTTGACAAAACCGAACAATTCCCGATAAAAAGCAACTGAGTCAGTACCGTACCAAATCTCAATCTAGAATCCAAATCCATTCTCGATCAGCATCAGATATTATCCCGTCCTCACCATTCAATGAATGGCTGAAAATCTCTATGGGTTTTAGCTATCTTCATGGCATTCAACCCACTCATTGGACGGTTGATATGTCTCAATGGGTAAAACATCATTCTTGAAAATAAAATCCTTAAGAAGTTTTCTTTGTCCTTGAAGAAAATATAGGGCATAAAAGGTGTGAAACCGATGCACTGTGACTTTTTGGAGACGTGTTGACTCAACCAAACGTGTGAGAAACGCCAAATCTCTTTAATATTTAAATCAATATATTTGCTAAAATATCAATAATACCTTTTATTGTAAGACTATTTTATCCTCAAAATGTCTAAGTAGCCATATTGATTAACTCACAAGACCCTGGTTGCTTTTATAATGGGCGCTCTAATAAGAATAAGGGCTTTAAACTTTCCCTTAACCCATCGCAAACATGGTAAATAACGTAGGTTGTGTTAGATAGGTTATCAATATAAAACTTTTGCCACATCATGTCATAAATTTTTAACCAATACCATATTGAGAGTACGACTCTTGATAGAGAAAAATGAAAGAATATAATTCATATAGTTGATTCCAAATAATTGAGATAAAGTTTGGATGATGATGATATGTTAATGGTGAGGATGGAGGGTTGGACATTATGTGAGACATCCACACTCTTAATTGCCGATGCCCCAGCTCCATTCCCTCAATCGCTTACCAATCGTTTCACATCATTCGCTATGGGGATTGAATATTAGTAAATGCTCATGTAACTTTGCCATGATATACTACCATTATTCATTATCAAGTCCGAGTTGAGGGGTGGTCACGTAGTATTTTCTTGATTTGTTTTTGTTTTTTTGTTCCTGATCATTTTTCTAGAAGAAGAATTCTCCTCATAAAAGAATTGTTTGATTTATTCAACAAAAAAAGAAAATTATGTTTGATTTATTCAAGAAAACAAAATATCGTACTTTTAACCGGTTTATTTTACTGATTATGAGCTCTTTTTATGTTAAGGTTTATTGATAATAGAGTTGAAAACAAAATCATACATAGCAAGTTTTAACATTGGAGTACTGGGTAAAAGGTCCTGGGCAATTGCATCCCATTATCATATAGGACCGTGCTTCTATCTTCATTATGTGTATAGAGAAGCAAATGATGTTGCAGATAGGCGAGCTAAAATGGGTGCTTTGTTTGAGTCACTGCATATTTCGAAATTTTTTTATTTTTATTTTGTATTGTAATATCCTTTACATCTAATAAAAGTAAGTCTTCTTATTTTATATATATATATATATATATATATATAAATAAATAAATAAAAGTCTATGCTTATATGTTCCTTTTATTGTTTTGGAATTGTTTATGCGTTTAAGCTTACCATAGATCAAGTAGGCAGTTAAGTTTACCATTGCCGCACCCAACTTGTGTTTCACTTCATTAGAATATTTTATACAAGGACACGCTTTAGCTGAGTCAGCCAACTCACCAAACCATGGGCGTCTTCATTCATCAGTCGTTCATCTCAGAGATGGACGTCAAAAAATGTGCTTCCATTATACCTCAAATGGGTGGTGGAAAAAAGTATTAAAAAGTATGATTTTTATGTTAAAAATTTATAATTATCATGACAGCTGAGATTAACAAATCCCAAAATTTTGGATCCAAAAAGTGTCGTAGAGGTGAATTTTGATGGGACTCCACATATCTACGTGATTTGTCTGACTCACCAAACGCTTTTTCCATATACAAATATGTTAGATTTCTTTATTTACAATTAAATAAAAACAATATAAGGACATGCTAACTCCCAAAATAATTAGATTTCCTTATTTACGATTATTTTCTTTGTTGGGTTATGTGCTTCCTTAATGTTCACCCAAATCCTTCTACAAAATGAATAAAACCAAATACAAAGAAAAATTATAGTCCATCAATTTTTTTTGTCCAATTTTCAAGAGGAAAAAAAGAAGAAAAAAGTATAACAGGTAAAAAGAAAACTAAAAAAATTCATTTGCAAGTCAAATGCAAAATGAGCAAGCATCATGGGTCGAATTAGCACAAAACCTAGGATAGAAAGTAAGGAAATGCAGACCTGAGACTATTTACTTTTGGGCATAATGAGGTCTTGATCGCTGGATATAAAATTGGATAGTTGAGAGTGTGAAATTGACTAACACAATATCCAAAACAAAATTTTTTGAATGTTGTGACACATTTCAATGTATTAAATATCACATTATTCAATGACTAAAAGTGATTGTAATATTTTTATATAAAAAAAAATAGTCTCATAGTATACTATCCCAGAAAATAAAGTAATATCCCAAGACTTTTTCGAAAATTTCAATTATAATTGAAAGTAGAGTTGTACTTCAAAATTCATTGAGAAAAAAAAAAAAGAAGCAGAGTAATCTAAAAGCTACTAGTTTGAAAATCTAATTTTATCTCTAATTATAAAATTTGAAGCTCAATGGATCTCAATTTTATGACTTAAAATTCTTTTCTAGAATTGAGGAGGTCCAAATAATCAATTTGAGTATTTTCCTACACCAAAACTGCATTTTAACACTAAAAAAACAATTTGTTTAAGTGCCATTTCTTCTTTTCCCGTCCCCTTCTTCTTCTTCTTCTCTTTTTTTTTGTTTTTTTTTTTCTAGAAGAAAAATAAAGAAACTACTACCTAATTAATTCTATTCCCATCCCCTCAAAGTTATTATTATTATTGTTGTGTTGTTGACCGAAATTCAAGGGCAGTTTAGGTGTGTTTGTTTGAAAATCAGGGGTAAATATAAGCCTTTGTCTTTGTTCAACAAATCCTCTATTTTAATACAAATCCCAACTCCTCTTTCCAAGCAAATGCATCGAAATCTCATTCCGAAGCCGACACTCCTTCCTGCTGCTCAGAAAGAAGAGAGAGAAAGAAGCAAATATATTTCTAGAGAGAGAGAACACAGGGGAGTTCAGGAAACGAGGGTAGATAGAGAAGAGAGACAGTTAGAGAGAGAGAGCTGAGGTGAGGATGGATAGAGAACCAGAGGAGATGCAGTTCTTGGGGTGCTTCGGCATCTACAAGGAAGCCTTCAAGATCATTCTCTCATGGCGAAAGATCTTCACTCGCATAACCCTAGCCCTAATCCTCCCTCTCTCCTTCATTTTTCTCGCTCACAACTTCGTAACAGATCGAATCTTCAGTAGCATCCATCGAAACGAGCAAGCCCTAGATACCCACCCTCAATCTAAGCACAAAATTATTGATAAGATCACCTCGGAATGGATCTCTCTCTTCCTCTTCAAAGCTGTGTATCTCGTCTGCGTCCTCATATTCTCTCTCCTCTCCACATCGGCCATCGTTTACACGGTCGCCTGCATCTACACGGCCAAGGAAATCAACTTCCGAAAGGTTTTGAGCGTCGTTCCAAAGGTATGGAAGCGATTGATGGTCACTTTTCTCTGGAATTTCGTCATCCTTCTCTGCTATAACACCGTATGTATAGTGATAATTGTGTGCTTCGCCTTTTTGGTTCTGCAATCGGACGATAGTATATTGAGTGTGTTGTTTTGGATCGTTTTGATTGGGTTTTATCTTGTGGGTCTGGCGTATATAAGCGTGGTCTGGCATTTGGCGAGCGTGGTTTCGGTTCTTGAGGATAAATACGGCATCTCTGCTATGCAAAAGAGCAGGAATTTGATAAAGGGAAAGATTTGGGTTGCAGCTTTCATATTTGTGAAACTTTCTGCCATTTATATTGGAATTCAGGTCCTGTTTGGTGCGATTGTTTTGAAGGGGGGAGGTTGGGTTTGGAGATTAGGGTTTGGGGTTCTCATGGTTGGGGTTCTTTGCTTGTTGATACTCTTGGGGCTTGTTGTTCAAACTGTTGTTTACTTTGTTTGCAAATCTTATCACCATGAGAGCATAGATAAGTCTTGTTTGTCTGATCACTTGGAGGTTTATCTTGGAGAGTATGTTCCCCTCAAAGGCAGTGCAGTGCAGCTGGAGCAGCTCTATGTATGATGGATGCTGGATGTCCAACAACCCATCATTATCATCATCATGGGCGTTAACATACACAGATTCATCACATAAATGAATCAGGGAAGTACATCACATACATGAATCAGGGAAGTACATCACATACATGAATCAGGGAAGTATGTGGTTTGTATCATCTATTTTCACCATTAAACTTCTTTTTTCTTATCAGCATTAACAATAATAAATTATCATGGTCTGTCATCATGGATGTCAATGGATGGATGGATGGATGGGGGATGGATTCTATGAAGGCATAAGGCATATGTCAGGGAATGCATAGGGATAGATAGAGAGAATAATAGGGATGTGATTTAGTAGTTGATTTATTGTATGTGATAGGGCCCATTCAGTGCAGTATGAGATTCACACATTCTGTTCTGAATGGTTTTAGTTTGTATAATTTTAAGGAAAGATTGGAGAGTAAGGAACCATTTGTGTTTTTTTTTTTCTTGACTTTAGTTTGTTATTTTGTTTCTTGTGCAATTCAAGGAAAGACAGAAGAGCAATATACTTGTGTTTTTCACTTTCCTTTCCTTTTATGTTTTTGATTTTTCTTCTATGACTGCTGATGCTTTATGGTTTTATTTATTGAGCTGTGGTACAATTTACATAAAGAGTGAAAGAGAAACCTTGGCTTGCTGGGACTGAGCAATAAGCAACATTGAAGTGATGAGGTTTCATAAGTTTTTCATATAGTTTTCATTGAAGAGAATGGTAATTCGCATAAGTTATTACATACTCTGTAGGCAGGGAGGGCAATTGAAATGTTTTCTTATATTTCTGGGTTGAGAGAGGTTTATGGCATCATCTTTGCTGCATTCAATTCTGATGAAAAATATGGTACAACAGAAAATTATCGGTGGTTTTCTTCCTACTTGAAGTCAATTTGCCCAATAATTTTTCTCTTTGTTTCTTAGGCATTTTGGGTGAATGATAGTTCTCTCTTTTTGTTCTTAGGATTTCTTTTCGGCTAAGTTTCTAAATTGATTATGTTGCTTAATGTGCTTCATTTATATTCAGTGTTCTTTTATAGGGTCTGTGGTAGTTCTTCTGTCGTTGTGCTTCTTTCTTTCCTTTTCGGCTAGGCCCCAATAACTTGACCGGAAATGCATGTATGTTGTTTTTATCTTATCGAAATATGAGCAGTTCCATTATCATGTTTTATTATCTGTACTGCCATACTTTTCTTTTTCCATATTTTATGATTTATTTTCTTTATAAACTTTATTTTGTTACTCATTGTTTGGGTGCAACAAAAACCAATAGATGGCCACCAATTCAGCATTGCGTCGATTTCTTTTCCTTGGGAGATTCCCTGGGATGTCATTAGTCTCTATACTAGCTAGACTTCTGATCATTGTTAGCAAACGCAAATTTGGGTCAGAACTCAGAGGTGTCCTGAGTCCTAGTTGTGTCTGATAGACTCAGCTGAGTCTATCGAAAAAAGTAACAACAGTCAATTCCCACGTTTTCTGGCAATGGCACCCAGTCAAGCTCGAGTGACTCAAGCGAGTGGACTCGCCCAAGTTTCCAAACAATGGTTCTGATAAATTATTACACACTCTGGATGCAGATAGTACTTTTGAAATGTTTCCTTATGTTTTTGGTTAGATAAAGAGTTCAAGACATCTTTTTTCTTCCTTGAATGTGATGGTTGTATTCTTTTTGTTTTTTAGGGATTTATTACTATTTAAAGTTTTTTTATAGGGTTGAAAGTTCTATAGCGTTTCTGGTAGTGCTTCTTTGTTTCCTTTTCCAGTAGGGCCCAGTAACTGAAATGGAAATGCGTGCATCCTATCCTCATGTGATTGTTTTATGGAAAAATGTTTCATGCGGGCTGGACTGCATTTCTACATATGCGGTCCAGAAAGTGTAAACCATCCATCTTAAAGATGGATGCAAGTAGGTGTTCTATCTAAAAACAATGAAACTAATGGTCCAACGGTTTTCTTACTAGAAATATTATTTCTAGTTTTTAAATTTTATTTATTTTTTCATATTCATGATCTCCATGTTAGAGATTACATATCCTTAAAAATCAAGTCTTAAAATCCATCTCAAAAGTAAATTTATTAAAAGGCCCGCATTTTTACATGTGTGGGCTTGGCTGCATAGAAACCGGGCCTATTGTTTTATTATATGTAATGCCATAGCTTTCTTTCTCTATGTTTTGTGTTTTTATAAAGGAGCGAGTTTATATAAGGTTGCAACCTTATGCTATTGAAATGAGGAAATAAGGTGCACCTCAAAAATCCTCTAGAAGAGAGAGTTTTGATATTGGAGAGCCCTCTGATTGATCATCTTATCCTCGAGGAATGTGGATATGAAAGGGGGAGGAATCAAGCCCTAGAAAAAAAGCATATGTAATAAGTTATTGAACCGTCTATTTTTATGATTTTCAAGTGTTATAAATCTATTAGATTTGTTCATTTTTAAATTTCAAATTTCATAACTAGGGATAGAAATAGATTTTTAAGCCATCATAAGGTTTCTGATACCAGAACTACCAGAACTACATTTGGGAGCAAATTTTAGGCACAACCTCACCATTTTATAGGATTTATTCTGTTCCAACTTTTAGTGCAACACACAACCCATTAGCTATTAGCTAGCCACCGTTTCCGTTTCCGTTTCCGAGTTGCCTTAGTGGAATTGATGCCATTAGTACCCATAGCCTTAGTATCTTGCTACTGACTACTGGCAGTAGGAGAATCTCTGTTTCATCCTTCTCTTAGTGCCCCTCTTTAAGAAAATGCAGAGCTGATTACAAATATTGGTGTCCCTTTGTTCACATAATGATATTTGGCAAAGGGACAAGAGTAGTTGACTGGAGGAGCTAAAATGGTTCATGGGAATTGTAACTGAGCACTGCAGCTTTGTCCTGAGATCTCTCTTCATGAGAAGATAACCCCTTCTTTTTAATTTATGCGCAAATTTACATGTTATTCTTGAAAAGATTGCCTGGAGTTTCATAGTTTTGTAAATATCGTTACAAAGATTTAGAACAAGTCACTGCTTCTATCTCCATTTTTGTAGTCAATCAGGAAAACTTCTCTGTTTGTGGGTTTTCGTGTTCGTGTGCGTGTGCGTTTGTTGGAAGGTTAATGTGTATATGGGACCTTAAACAATCAAAGTAGAAGTAAGGTGCACTTTGCAACTTCAATGGAAGGTCCCGCCAAAAATTCATGTGATGACCTGAAAATCTATTTGTTACCTTTTAATTATGAAATTTAAAACTAAAAAAATGGTACATATCGATCAGATCTAAAAATACTTTGAGAACTTTTTAAAAATGTACTGTCTAGATAACGCATGGTCTTTATTTTTATGTTTTTCTAATTTTCAGATCCTGATACACCGAGATTTTAGGTCTAAAGGTGCATCTCTATTATGAATTTTCAGAGGGAAAATTGCGTTGTCCCTCTGTTGCAACTAAAATCTCACCCTTTCTGGTAAAGGTGTTGTTTATATGAGGCGCCAAGCCGCCGACCTTAAAGTAAGGTAGCACCAAAAACTCCTAGGATGGCTTGAAAATTTATTTATTTATATATTTAATTATGAAATTTAAAGCGTAAAATTGGGGCACATTGAGCATAATATAAAAGCACTAAACTTTTGAAAATGGACTGTCCAGATTCAGCAAATAAATGGTGTCCGTCGGTTTTTCCAAGGGAAAGTTATGTATGTGAGTAGGGTTTAAGACAATTTTCATGTCACTGGTTTCCTTGGTAATTCAATGGGAAGGGTTGGATTAGGGATTTAGTTTTTTTTATTTTTTGATTTTTTTTCTGAAGAAGTCAGTGGGATGCGGTAACTAGGTACGAGGGTGCTACCACTACGACCCAGCCCCTTTCCGGGGAACCACCCGACCCAAAGTCAGGCCGAATGGAACCCTGCATTAATTTTCATCACTCGTGCCACAAGAGTAAAATGCTTCTCATTTTTAGAGTTCCTGCATTAATTTTCATATCACTCGTGCCACAGGAGTAAAATACTTCTCATTTTTAGAGAAGATTATGTGAGGATGTATACTATGCTCCTTCGGGAGTATAATGTACTCCTACTCACTCGGCCAAAAGACCTATTTGGGAGGATTTTTTCAATCTGAACTTTTGGAAACCACTTAAGAATTACATGACCATTCTCAAAAAAAAAAAAAATTGAAATTTGAGTTTTCTAATATTTAGATCTTACCATCAAAAAATTGGATGGTCTCTATTCAATCGTGAGCCATTATTTTTTGAATTGCATAAAGGGTACAGTTAGGATTTGTTTTTTATTAAGATTAAGCAGAATATTTTTTGGCTTATATAAGACATATATTTGACGAAGAGAAGTGAAGCCGCTCCTCAAAATCCAACTATAGAATGAAATGAAGCTTTGGCATCGGGGAAAATCTTAAATTGATTACCTTGAAAAAGATGAAATATAAGTCTAACATGTTATTTCTACTGGGTAGTGTTGGTACTTAGTAGACCTATCAAATTTATATTTGCTCAAATTTTTTAAATATAAATATAAAGGGAAAATATTTTTATACACCCTATTCTTTTTAGGTTTCATATCTCAATAGACTCAATATTTCAAAACATATCTTTTAAATTTTTTAGAAAGATGTCTTTTAAAAATTTGTTTTGATTAAAAAAAATGGTTTAAAGTGGATAAAGTTAGTCCAATAAGTTAAAAGATATAATAAGCGGCTTTATGCTTTTTGGATATATTTTGAAATCATAGGTTTATTTAGATATAAAACTTAAATACATTAATATATGAAGATATTTTCCTAAATATAAACAAATTTCAGCCCATTGTAAATTTGTATTCTTTCAATTGCTCAAACTTCGAATCTTTATGGGCTTTCAAGATCTATTCTACATTTTTTTTTTTTTTCAAATTGTTATGGGCTTTTGTAATTCACTCTATATATAATCTAAATGAAAATCAGTCTATCAGGGTTGATTGGCCTCAAGATTGCAATTCTACCGGCCCCATGAATCTCTACCTTACCTTTTCAATTACCTGAAATTTTAGTACTGATTTTTTGTTTAGAATCCTCTGAATTCGCATTTGTAAACAATATATCCCCACCCCCTCGTTCAAATCTTGCAGTTCTACCATTCCCTGGCCTTTGTTGCCCTATAAAAATTCATGAACAGGGCAAGCCCCTTCATCTCTTTTAGGGCAAGGATGAACGGTTGAAAAATGTGGCCTATCAGGCCCTTTCTTTGGATAAATTTTTAATACTAGTATAAAAGCCATATTATAGTACATGTGGATAACATGCATTAATGCTATATATTTAAATCTATTTTTGAGCTTTAATATGATATGGCAATAGAGGGAAAACCCAGTGTCACCATTAGGAAAACCCAATGGTATATTTGGATTCTTTGTGAAAATTATTTTTCCATTGTTATATATATACAAAAATTATTTAATTCCTGAATATTTTTTATCAATTTGTAGGAATGTTTAGATGATATCCTATTATATGGGTCGTTAGTGGACTAATGACAAATTTACATAGGATTAACAGTTTGGTGACTACTTGATAATCCTAGGTAGTTGTACTTAAGCGAGTTAAAGAAATGAGTCACACTTGGATCTCATCTCCTATAGACCATGAATGTGAGAGTTACAAAGTGATATGCTCTCTAAAAAAATGAAAATAACCCCTCATAAAAGAGGTAGAGAAAGATGGAAAAGATATGCATAGTAAATGAGATTCACCAAAAAGGGAACTCTCAAGTTTGCTTATTACCAGATGGCTCAGTTTATAGGATTTGATATGAAACTTTAAGTCTTTCATGTGATTTAAGGACAAATTCAAGTAAGTTGATCATTGATATCATTTTATTGTATTATTTTTGGGGTATTATTACCATTTTTAAATTGGTACCAACATGAAGAACAGGTGAAACCTCAAGTTACTGCATTCCAAGCTAAAGTTGAATTGAGACCTTATGAAGAACGAGAATCAGCTCGCCCAATCATAAGCCACATATAAGGAAGAAACAAAGAAGAGAAGATTACATCTTTAGAGCCAAACCATGGAATTGATAAAGTCAAGGTAGTTCAAGGGGCATATAAAAATAGAAAGGTATATAATAAGGCCATTTATTTTTTATACAAGAAAGAAATAATCACTATTGGGGTTACATCAATGATTGGGCACAAAGTCTAAAATAATTTTTTAAAATATTGTGACACACTTTAATCTATCGGATATAACATCCAATGGCTAAAAATAATCATGGCCTCCTTGTATCAAGGGTGAATGGTCTTATAATATATAATCTCCATAAAAATAATAAAGATAAAAAAAGAAGAAAAAAGGAGCATATAAAAATATAAAGGTTTATAACAAGGTCATTTATTTTTCGTACAAGAAAGAAATAATCACTACTGGGGTTATATCAATGATTGGGCACAAAGACTAAAACAATTTTTTTTTAATGTTGTGATGCACTTTAATCCATCAGATATCACATTCAATGGCTAAGAATAATCATGGCCTCCTTGTATCAAGGGTGAATGGTCTTATAATATACAATCTCCATAAAAATAATAAGGATAAAAAAAAAGGAAAAAAGTATACAATTCCATAAAAATAGTAAGGATAAAAAAAAAAGGAAAAAGAAAAGATTATTTTGAATGTTGTGACACGCTTTAATCTATCGGATATCACATCCAATGGCTAAGAATAATCATCGCCTCCTTGTATCAAACGTGAATATTTTTATAATATACAATCTCCATAAAAATAATAAGGATAAAAAAAAAAAGAGGAAAAAAGTATACAATCTCCATAAAAATAATAAGGATAAAAAAGAAAAAAGAAAAGAGAAAAGGATTTGAGCCCTTACCCTTTGGTGAGAATGGAGTCAGAAACTTCATCATAAGGCTCGTTGGTACTACCGTCAAGGCCCTAGCCCATTATCAAAATGATAGGGAATGTCTAAAAAAATAATTGTTTATCTTTTGTACATAGAGATCATAATCATTCATGTCCCTTAAATTTTAAAATGGGTGATTGTAAGAGTGTTATTGAATAGATACAAAGCTCCAGATAAAAATTATTGGACTTTGTGACTCACCCCAAGCCATCCAATTTGACATCTAATGAGTAAGAATGATTGTGACCTCCATATACAAAAGATAAATGGTCTCTTTGTAAATAATACCAAAATAAAAATAAAAAGGCACAGTTTCTATGGGTCCATATAGAAATGAGCCACCTCTTGAAAATCTATTTTTGAGGTGGATTTTTTAACTTAATTTTTAAGGACTTGTAATCTCTAACATGAAGATCAGGAATATGAAAGAGAATAAATAAATTTTAAAAATTAAAAATAAGAATACTATTAAGAAAACATTTGAACAATTAATTTCAATTGTTTTTTAGATGGACCACCAAAAGATGGATGTTTATAACTTGGGGCCGCATATGGTAGAAATGCGGTCCAGCCTGTTATTTTCATTTGAGCTATTTTGAAACTACATTAATTTCCAAAAATATATATATGAATTTCCTAGGAGGAATAGATTTCGACGACGTTTGGCACATTAGTAGAACGAAAGGTGTTTCATGTATCGAGGGGCATTGTTCCACAGTTGCGTCACCCCAATGCATCACACGTCCATCTTAAAGATGGATGGCATAAAATTGCGGCCCCATCAAAAAAACAAATGAGATGGTATTAAACATGAAAATATTTTATATAAGGTGTCTAAGCTTATACTTTAGAAGTAAGGTGCACTTAGAAAATTTGATGGAAAAGGTCGTTCTGATACTGAAAAACCCATAATCAATTTTGTATTGATATAAGAAAAAAAAGGATTTCAAGACATAAAAAGTAGTTCATTTTGTAACATATTCTTTGAATACTCCATTTTTAAGACTTTCAATTGTTTATGTATTTGCTTGATCTAATTTTGGATAATATTAGGAACTTTAACTTCTTATAATTAGATGTGGAAATAGATTTTGGTCGTATCCAGGTTTCCGGCACCAAAAGTGCAACGGAGTTTGAAAGTGTGTCTCAAATTGATTATTTAAAGTGTATACCTTATGTAAACCTATCCAAAAATAATAATTTTTTTCCTATCTAATCTTTCATATTCATAGTACCTACTGTTGAAATTATGGACCTTGAAATTTTTGGATTCAAATTCCATCTCTAGCATATATTTTGGAGGGAGGACTCATAATAATAGATAAGTAAGTAAACTCACCATAACTTTGTCCTCAGAGTAATAGACTCCTTCCTGACTTAGGGGCGGCAATGAACCTGGAGCCGGATCTAACCTGGGATCTAATGGGTAGACCTGGGTATGGGTCCAAAAAAATTGGATCTCCAAATGTTGGATCTAAACACTATTCAGGTCCTAATCCATGTAGACCCAACCCTAACACGACCCGAATAATGTTAATGTTTAAATAGTATTTAATATATGATATTCAAATAATATTTAAATAAGGAGAGAATTTCTATAAGGCCCAAGCTTTATAAAAACAAAATAAAGCCTTACCTCAAATTCTCGTTCAAAAAGCACTTTCGGCAATAGAAATCTCTATGATGGCTCTAAAATCAATTTACAACGCTGGCAATAATTTTTGAAACTCAAAAAATGGTATAGATCTTGCAGATCTTTGAATATTTACTTTTCAAGCAAAATAAACGGTCTAGATAATTTTTTACAATATACATTATTATTAGAGCTTGAAATCCTAATTTTCTTTCTCAACCATAATGTTCAAGCCGAGATGATCAACGCAAAGGTTTTCCAATGCTTGAATTGTAATTTTCGATGAGTTATGAGGTGAGGTTTTACTTATTTTGATAGAGCTGCCACCCTATCAAACCATTTTCCTTTAAATAAATATAACTATATATTTTTGTTATAAAATTTAAATAAAGAAAAGTTTATATAGAGCCGAGCCCCTAAACAATCAAATTAGAGCACGGCTCATAAATTTCACTAGAATAGGTTGTTTTGATGCTCAAATATTGTCAAATTGATCACCTCAATATCAAGATGCATGGACATGAGAAAAAAAATAGATTTTCAGTTTTGGAAATAGTGCATCTAGTAATGCATTTTTGGACCATCAATTTTCAAGTTTTCAAAGATCTACTCGATCTACTCTATTTTTGAAGCTTTAAATTTTATAATTTGAGATGAAAATATATTTTAAGGCTATCACAAAGATTTCCAATATTGAAACTACATTTCTCAATATTATTTGAAGGTGTGCTCTACTTGGATTGTTTAGAGCCTCGGCTCTATACAAACCACACCTTTTAAATAATGGAAAACATATAGAGCAGAGGCTCTAACAAATCAAATTAAAGCCCACCTGAAAAATGTCATTAGAAGAGGTTGTTTTGTTGCCCAAATATCCTCAAATTGATCATCTCGACATCAAGATGCATGGACATGAGAAAAACATAGATTTCAAGTTTTGGAAATATTGCAGTTTGTAAGATATTTTGGAACCGTCAATGTTCAAGATTTTCATAGATCTGCTCGATCTATACTATTTTTTAAGCTTGAAATTTTATAATTAGAGATAAAAATGTATTTTAAGGCTATTACAAAGATTTGCAGAATTGAAACCACTTTTTTTGACACTATTTAAGGATGCTCTCTACTTTGATTGTTTTCAAGATTTTCATAAATCTGCTCGATCTACACTATTTTTTAAGCTTGGAATTTTATTTTTAGAGATAAAAATGTATTTTAAGGCTATCACAAAGATTTCCAGTATTGAAACCATTTTCTCGATACTATTTAAAGGTGCGCTCTACTTTAATTGTTTAGAGCCTCGGCTCTATACAAACTACACCCTTTAAATAAGGGTGCAGTTGGCATACAAATGCATCCCTAGCTGTAGAGGTAAGGTACACCTTCAAAATTTGTCATGGTATATAATTTTGATGTAAAATGTTCTTAGAATTATCTCAAAATTTATTTTCATATCTAATTATAAATTTTAAACCCAAAAAATGGTTAAAATCGAGTAGATCTATAATCATATGAAATTCTTGAAAATGGACGGTGTAGATAATATGTTGTAAAATGCACTATTTTTGAGACGTAAAATCTTTTTATTTTTCTTGGTCATACATCTGGATGTTGAGATGATCAATCAAAGGGTTTTTCAACATTAAAACTACCTTTTTCGATAGATTTTTGAGGTGCATCCGTAGTTCTACATTACAAGGTTGCATCCTTATATAACTTTTTTCTTTAAATAATACATGTATATATTTAATGAGGGGAACGGTCCCATTAGATGAAATATATATTGAGATTTTGATTTTTGATCCGGTCTAGAATAATAATTTTTTCGATCCGGGTCGAAGCTACCCAGTTTGTGAGAATGGAGCCATGAGGCTCGTTGGTTCTCACATGACTCTCTCTCTCCCTCCTAATCAATCGAATTTTTTTCATGGTTTTTCTCTGACCAGGAAGTAAGCAGGTTCTCTCTGTCCCCGTCACATAAAACAGGAAAGCGTGGCACTTCCTCTCTCTTGGGTTCCCTCCATTAAAATGTGTGGTTCCAAGGAACTGATGATCCACCCACCTCTACGCGCTACAAGCACTCTTTCTCTCTCTGTCCTTTGTTGCCCTGCCCGCCATGCTGCTGCATTCAAATGCCTGCAACACGAAGCTTCTCACCACGTTCAACAATAACCACCGTCTTCTTTCTCTTAATGGTGGAAGACATTGGCTAGAGAGTTGTTGCAGAAGCAGCTTTCGGTGTGGTTCCCCTTCTCTCTCTAAAACCTTTCGAATTTCTCGTGGATTTATCGTGAGAGGTTCATTCTGGCAGGCTCTCGCCATGGCAGCTCAGGGCAACCTTTTCTCAGCTTTTGCTAGGCCCAAGTCTCCCATCAATGAGGTAGTCAATGTATCTCTTTGCGTTTTACTCCTCCTCTTTGTTTGAATTGATCACATTTTGGATAGTGTTGTATGAATTCAGGGCTTTGGGACTCTTTTTGTTCAAGTGGATGGATTGTTTTTGTGGGTGTTTTGGCTTGTTATACTGAATTGAATGAGTCCCAATGTGAATTTTTGTTACTGAACTTACCCTGCAAATACTGCCGTTAAATAGTTTCTAAATCCTGTGATGAAATATGATTATTAGCTTTGTTGCTCTTTAATAGGGCATAGGCTTCGGGGTAATATTGCTTCCACTCTCTATTTTTAGTATTTCATATTTCTGACTCTGTATATTTAGTTACTTGGTTTCTTTTAGTGTTTTCATCTGTTAAAACTTTAGTATTTTGAGTATTTGAGATTTTTCTTTAAGTTTGAACACATAAATTTTCACATTGCAAGCAACGCCAAAGGATAGAGATGCATCATTCGCTAGAAAACATCGTTCATGTAATTTACATCGACAGGCATCGGGCAGTTAAGTATAGATGCATCTAAAGATGTTCATATTTGTATGAAATGTATACCTGGATTTGGTACATTTGAAACTTGCATGGAGTGCATGTTGGAAGCAGCATTGATCCTGAACTCTATTTATTCCTTTGCACTCGGCCAAGTCCACTTGGACTCGGTCAAGTCACTTGACCTCCACCTTATGCCCAGGTGAGTTGGAAGCAGCATTGATCCTGAACTCTATTTATTCCTTTGCACTCGGCCAAGTCCACTTGGACCTCCACCTTATGCCCAGTTGAGTTGTACCGAGTACCTCGGTACCACTTTTCTACTTCATAAAAGGGGGATTGCCCCCCTTATTTCATATCTGTCCCTCTCTCTAAAATGGGGGGACCACCCCCCTTCATCTCTCTCTACTGGACAGGGGCTCTCTCTCTACACACATACTCTCTTTCTCTCTCTCTCACAAAGGGTGGTGATATCCCCCCTTTTCATTCTCCTCTCTCCCCCTCTCTCTTTCTCCCCTCTCTCTTTCTCCCTTCTCTTCCTCTCTTCTCTCTCGCCCTTCTTCTCTCCTCTCTCTCTCCCCCTTCTTTTTCTCTTTAAAAGAGGCAAAAATCTACCTAATTTATCATTTCTTTGTCTAAAAGGAGGTGGTGATCCACCTCCTATTTCCACTTCTCTCTCATAAGGAGAAATGGAAGTATAGAGGGAGAGAAATGTAGGAGAGAAAGAAATGCGGTGAGAGAGAGCGAGGAAGAGATAGAGAGGTGTAGTGGGTGGGGGGGAGAGTGAAATGCGGTGGGTGGGTGAGGGGGAGAGAGAGAGAAAGAGGCATGTGTTAGGGACAGAGAGTGAGACATTACTTTTAGAGAGAGGGAGAAACGTGGTCAAGGATTTCCTTCCCTTGGTGTTGAAGGAACCGTTAGCATAAGTGAGGGTGGGTAGAGATTATAGATACATTCGCTGGATTAGAATATTGGAAGTGAAAGAAGCTTCGAAGAGGATGAAGATAGGAAAGGCTTTAGGACCGGATGATATTTCGATAGAGGTTTAAAAATGCATGGGGGAGATTGGCATTGACGACTGACCAAGTTGTTCAACCAGGTGTTGAGAGTAAAGAAAATGGCAGACAAATGGAGGAAAAGTATTGTGGTGCCTATTTGCAAGAACATAGGAGACATACAAAATTGTGCGAACTATCGAAAGTTCAAGCTTATGAGCAACACTATGAAGTTGTGGTAGAGAGTGATTGAGCAATGATTAAGGCATGAAACGAGTGTATTAACAAACCAAATTGGTTTTATTTCAGAGAGGTCAACAACCGAGGCTAGTTCCCTTCTTAGGTAATTGATTGAGAAGTTTAGGGCAAAGGAAAAAGATCTCTACATGGTCATTATTGATCTAGAGATGGTTATGATAGAATACCTAGAGATTTGGTTTGGTGGGTGTTTGAGAAGAACGAAGTCTTAAGACATTACATCGACTTGGTGAGATATATATACGAGGGCGTGCTAACTAGTGTATAAACAACTAGTGGCGAGACGTGTGAGTTTTTAGTGACAACAGGTCTATATCAGGGGTTAGCATTGAGCCCATACCCTCGTTGTCTTAGTTATGGATGACTTAACTTGGTACCTACAAGATGAGGTACCATGGTGTATGTTGTTTGTGGATGACATAGTTTTGATCGATAAGACTCGAAATGACATCAACTCAAAGTTAGAACTTTGGAGGTTTGCTCTAGAATCTAAATGTTTTAAAATTAACTGGACTAAGGCAAAGTATATAGAATGCAAGTTTAATAATAATAAGAGTATAGACGAGAAGGTAGTTAAGATTGACGACTAAAACATATCAAAAAGAGCACACTTTTGATATCTTGGGTCGATAATTCAAGAAAATGGAGAGATTGCGGTAGATATCTCACATAGAATTAGAGCTGGGTGGGCGAAGTGGAGATGTGCAGTTGGAATTTTATATGTTCATTGCACACCAATGAAGCTGAAGGGCAAGTTCTATAGGACAGCTGTGAGACCAACTTTATTTACGGGGTAGAATGTTGGGTGATCAAGAAGCAACTTACCCATAGAATGAATGTAGCTGAGATGAAGATGTTGAGATGGATGAGTGGGAAGACAAGAAGGAATAGAATTCAAAATGATTAAATTCAGGAGAATTTGGGTGTGGCACTAATTGACGATAAGATGAGAGATAATAGACTTAGGTGGGATGGCCATGTGTGGTATAGACATAGTACAATACCTATTAGGAGGTGCGAGTTATTTCAAGTGGAAGGCTCAAAAAGGGCAAGAGGTAGGCCCAAAAGGATATGGTTGAAAGTAGTGAGAAAAGATACGGGGACTTATGACCTCACTGAGGGTATGGCTCTTAATAGAGCAGATGGCGAACCGGGATTTGTGTGCCTGACCCAATTAGTTGGAAAAAGGCTTGGATGATATATATATGTGTGTGTGTGACTTATGACCTCACTGAGGATATGGCCCTTAATAGAGCAGATGGCGAACCGGGACTTGTATAGCTGATCCAATTAGTTGGAAAAAGGCTTCGATGTGTGTGTGTGTGTGGGTGGGTTGGTCGGTGGGTGGACTCGGCCAAGGCCGAGTACCTGGCGCTAGGCGAGTCTTTGAACACTGATATATCAAAAATTTGTTTTCTATATTGTTCTCTCTTTTATGCATGAATGCCAACTTGGTTACTGCATTTTGGGGGTATTGGATAGCTAAGTGTCTTTGCTTTCTATTTTGATGAAAGGTGTTGTACTTTCTTGTTCATAATATTTTATGCCATCACTGTCAAAAGGTATTGAAGAATGTGGAGTGGCCAGAAAAGTTTCCCTTCAAAGAGGAGGATTTTCAGCGGTTTGATGAGTATGTGCTTTACACTACATGGCCAGCGATGTTAACTTTCAAAGTTCCCTTAACATTTGGAGTTCTTAAATTTTCTGTTTATTCTTATGTATGTCTTGTTGGAGTTAATGTGTAGTGCAGCCTCATGACGAACATTTGTGGTCTTTAAAGGCATTTGGTATTATTTCTTCATGTTTACTATGATACTCCTTGTTTATGTTCAGATAGGATGGAGATTCTGTGATGCATATAGAGAAAATGAATTACTAAGTTTCTCCTCATGCGCTACCCTGAAGCTATCCCCATCTACTTGATTGCTTTACACGACATACTATTTTGGTACTTTGAAAGCGGATTTGAGTCATGTAAATCTTCTACTTCTGAAAAGTCGCTGTCATTGTAAAATAACTAGAATGTTATTTTTTTTAAAAAATGTAACTGGAAATCTTCCTTTTATCACCAGATTAGTAGTTCTGAAAAAGGATTTTAATCAAGTAAATACTCTGTTTTTTTGAAGTCTACTGTAATCATAATGAATCAGTAGTTTTAAAATGTGATTGAAAGTCTTCTTGTAGATCTTCAGATTCATTGTTCTATTCAACTCCTCGCTTCGTTACACATATCGATGATCCTGCCATTGCCGCACTGACTAAGTTTTACTCAGCTGTTTTCCCCCCAAGTAACTCTCCAGGAGTATGCCTGTTGGATTTATGCAGTAGCTGGGTAAAGTGCTTGCATAGGTTCTCCTCCATATTCTTTATTGGGATTGCCTTGCTTTGTTTAACTTATCTTGCTTTGAATTTTCAGGTTAGCCATTACCCAAAAGGATATAAGCAAGATAAAATTGTTGGTTTAGGTATGAATGAAGAAGAGCTTCAGCGCAATCCGGTATTGGCCTCTCGTTAAGTTTGTTTAGAGTTAGTAGTCAAGGAAGTTTGTACTATGATTCACAAAATTAACATTATAGAATTACTTTGCATCATTTCAACAATATTCTATTATATATGCATGTATTTCTCATAAATGCAACTTGATGCTGTAGTAGGAAAGAATAGAATTCTTCGTAATACATCATTTCTACTTTGATTTTTTTAGTTTTTTATTTATTATTATTTTTCTGGGTAGGTCGGCTTGTGATTTGAAACTGGTATGTGGTGTTGCAATTATCAATTCCTTTACCATCAAGTGAGGTGCCCAAATCTGTAAAAGGATGGTTAGCTTGGTTTGCTTTTGTGACAAATTAAAGGATTCGAACCCTTAAAGGGGTAGCTTAGTGTAGTTTGGTTTCATTATCATCATCAAAGCCTTTCCCCAACTATTTGAGTCGGCTGCACGAATTTTGGTCTGCCATTTTGCTCTATCAAGGGCCATTCCCTTAGTGAGGCCATATGTTCCCATATCTTTTATCGCCACTTCCAACCATGTCCTTTTGGACCTACCTTTGCCCTTTTTGAGCTTTCCACCTGAAGGAACTCACATTGCTTAACAGTTGCTATATTGGGTTTGCACTGCACATGGCCAATCCACTTAAATCTATTTTATCTCATCTTATCACCTATTGGAATTACACTTAAGTTCTCCTAAATGTAGTCATTTCAAATTCTATCCCTTCTTTTCTTGCCACTCATCCATCTCAACTTCCTTATATCAATTACACTCATCCTATGGGTATGTTCTTTATTGACTACCCAACGTTTCGCCCTATAAAGCAAAGCTGGTCTCATAGCTGTCCTATAGAACTTCCCCTTTAGCTTCATTGGTATGTGGCGATCACATAAAACTCCAGTTGGACATCTCTATTTCATCCACCCAGCTCTAACTCTATGTGCGACATCTTCCTCAATCTCTCTATTTTCTCGGATTATCTACCCGAGATATCGAAAATACGTTCTTTTTGGTATTTCTTGGCCATTAATCTTAACTACTTCCTCGTCTGTACTCTTATTGTTAATAAAGTTACAGTCCATATACTTTGCAAGTTTGGTTTGTGGGATCAAATTCAAGGGTTCAAACCGTTTACATTCCTTACAGAAAAAGTTGCGTCTATCATTGGGTCAAAGCCCCATTGACAAAAAAGGGTAAGTTAGATTGTTTGTTTTTGGGGCAAATTTCAAGGGTTTGAATCCTTGTTCTTTCGTGAGCAAACTGGGTTGTCTTACTATTACACGTAATCATCGCCCAAAAGCTCTCTTCTTTTTTGTGTTTTTATTATCAATTTAAGAAATTTTACTTTTTGGTGTGCAAGATTGAAACTCTTAAATTACAATAACAATATTAAAGTAAGGAAAGATGAAGCTCCTGGCACCAAAGAATCTATTTGGTAAATGATCTATTAACATTAGCGAGCTGTTATATGCCTTGATATAAGGACAAAACTTACTGCAGATGCACATACTGTAATTGTAGTTGTTAGAATTATAGAAACTTGGATGGAATTTTTGTTAGTTAAACTTTGGGTTTAGTGTCATATATACAGATGGCTGGGTTGTGCATAGCATATGTATACCGTTGTGCAATAATACAACAAAATTATGCTAAGCTAAGTAACAAATTGCATAGAGTCCAATACAAGATTAATATCCATAAATTCATTCTCCCCACCACCACCCAAAGAGAAATTGTGCATTACAAGAAATAACCGACAGTTTTTTCAAACGTGAGGTTTGGTGAATAGGTCAGCAAGTTGATTCCTAGAAGAAATATAAGGGAAAGAAAGAAGGCCATGGGCAAATCTTTCTGAATGAAATGAAAATCAACCTCAATATGCTTGGTATGATAATGAAATAGAAGTTTGGTGGCCTTCTTAATTGCAGCTGCTATTATCCCCGTGGAGAGGCAAAGGCGATAAAGGAGGGTCACCTATATTAATGGGAAGCATGCTAATCCAATGAATTTGATCTACATTAGTACAATACCCTGTTTTGCGATTGATTTGGAGCCACATGTTGTTTCTTGCAGTGTCGAGAGACAAGTGAATGACCATGAAAAATACAACACCCTGTATTTCATCTCCGTGTGTATGGAGTATGGACTGCTGGCTCAGTCTGAGTTAGCAAATGCAAGAGGCCAAAGATTAGAGGATGCAGAAAAGAAGATACCATGATTAAGTGTTGACCGTATATGTTGAATGATGTGATGAATAACAACCATATTTGAGTGAGGCGCTTGAAAATTTGGTTAATAGAAGGTATTGCATAATTGATATCTGGTCTGGTAGTAGTGTGCTATTATAGTCCACCAACTATCTGTAGGTATGGAACTGGATTGATAACTGGTTCCCATGAGATGTAGATAATTGAACATTAAATTTTTGCTGGGGTATCTACAATCCACGGTTATCAAATGCAGGATGCAGACTTGATATGCTATGCGGCTCGATATGGTGCCAACGTGGGTGTCACTTTTGATGCGGCAAAAAAAGTTTAAAAAGTATAAGAATACAATACACAACGAGTGTTCAAAAAAGCAGTCTGCCCAACGCCTAGGCGGTCCAGAAGGCCTGGGCGCAGCACTCAGGCCTAGGCGACCAAACTAGGCAGTAGTCCCTGAGCTGCCGCCTAGGCGGTACGGAACCCACCTAGGCGAGTGCCCAGCGCCCAGCCTTGGGATGCCGCCCAGGGCCTGTCCCCCTCCTAGGGGCGGAAAGTTTTTTAGTTATTTTCATTGTATTGATTTTTTTTTTAAATATAAAGGGTTTGAAGGATGGGTTTTAGGTTCATTTCAAACCTAAACCCACAAGAATCCATTTTAGAGACAAAGAAACCTCAAGAAAGCTAAATTTTGTGGCTTTCATTGGATCGAAGTGTTTCTCAAAGTTACGAAAAACAAATCCAAACATCAACCGGGTAGATTTGATTTAGTTTTGGAGTTTTATAATCCTATTAGAGGGTGTTTTTTATTATTTTAACACCAGAAACATCTCATAGGTGGGAGTTTGGAGTTGAAGCAATCAAAGTAAGTGTGATTTTTTAGATTGCTTGTTTTATTTTGAGATGTCTTCTTCAGGATCTAGTCGAAGTGGAGATCCGGGTTGGAAATATGGATATAACCCGAATCCAAATGACAAAAATGGCATTAGATGCAATTTTTGTGAAAAAGATACGAAATGGGGCATAAACTTTTAAGAAACATCTTGGTGGTATTAAGGGGAATGTTGCCCTTCATAAAAATGTTCTTGAAGTTATCAGAGAAGAGATTAAGCAATATATGAGTTCTGTAAAACAAAAATAGGAACAAAATCCTTATCATTTGAATATGTCTATTTCTGCTACTTCTAGAAGAAGTGATCCAGGTTGGAAGTATGGTTATAACTCAAAACCAAATGATAAAAAATGTATACGGTGTAATTTTTGTGAAAAAGATATCAGTGGAGGTATTAACTGATTCAAGATACATCTTGCTAGTATTAAAGAGAATGTTGCTTCTTGTAAAGGTTCCTGAAGCTATTCGAGATGAGATTTGACAACTTCTGAATTTAAAAGAACAAAAAAATGGTGAAAATGTTGTTATGTGGAAATATCTTCTTCAGGTTCTTCTAGAAGTGATGATCCGAGTTGAAAGTATGGTTATAACCTGAATCCGAATGACAAAAATCGTATTAAATGTAATTATTGTGGAAAGGATACTAATGGAGGCATTTACCGGTTTAAAAAACACCTTGTCGGTATTAAGAGGGATGTTGTCCCGTGTAAAAATGTTCCTGAGACTACCAGGGAGGAAATTATACAATATTTGAGTTTAGGGAAGTACAAAAAAAAAAGAAAAAGGTGAAGAGGCACAAAGTAGAGCAGCCAAGACTCCTAGGGCCTTATCTGCATAGAGTAAGAGGGGAGTAGAAAAAGAGGAGGAAGAGGCAGATTCAGAAGAAACAAAAGAGGACGAGCATTATATTGAAGAGGGAGATGACTCTGATGATGATGGCCTCAGATCTGATGCATATGATGAAGCTTACCCTACTCCTTTTGATGATGATGATGATGATGACTTAAGAATGAAGACACTTGACTCTTGGCGTTGACTGTTGAGTCTTAGACTGTATATTAACTTTTTTTTTATTTTCTAAGTTCTAGTTTTTACTATCTAACTCTTGTGTGTATGCTTGTATGGTTCTAACATTGTATGGAAAAATGGATTCTGGACCATCTAAGTTCTCATTCACTTATGACTTCTCCTATTATTTTCTTATTTGTCTGCCTCCTAGGCGTCACCTGGTGTTTTTTGGAACACTGTGTACACTCAAAACCAAAATGAACATTATCATCTGAACCTTTTTCCAACTATTTGGGGCTACACGAATCTTGGTCTGCTATTTTGCTCTATTAAGGGCCATACCTACCCTCAGTGAGGCCATTAGTCCCCATATCTTTTCTCACTACTTCAAACCACGTCTTTTTGGGTCTACCCCTTGCTCTTTTTGGACTTTCCACTTGAACCAACTCGCACCTCTTAGCAGGTGCTGTATTGGGTCTGCAATGCACTTGGCCAACTCCTCTAAGTCTACTTTCTCTCATCTTATCTCCTATTAAAGCTACCCCCAAAGTTTTTCCGAATGTATTCATTTTAAATTCTATTCATACTCATCCATTTCAACATCCTCATCTTAACTACGCCATAAAGCAAAGCTGGTCTCACAGCTGCATAGTAGTCCTTTAGAACTTCCCTTTAGCTTCATTTGTATGTAGCGATCACATTGCACATCTCCACTTCCTCCACCCATATCTAATTCTATGTGCGACATCTTCCTCAATGTCTCTATTTTTCTGAATTATCGATCCATGATATCAAAAGTGCGTTATTTTTGATATTTCTTAGTCGTCAATTTTATTTACTTCCTCACCTCTACTCCTATTATTATAAAACTTGCATTTCATATGCTCTGTCTTAGTCCGGTTAATTTTAAAACCTTTAGATTCTAGAGTATCCCTCCAAAGTTCTAACTTTGCGTTGACACCGCTTCAGTCTCGTCGATTAGAACTACTGTCATCGAAGATCAACATACACCACAATATGTCATCTTGTAGGTGTCTAGTTAACTAGTCCATAACTAAGATAAAGATGTATGGGCTCAACATTGGCCCCTTAGTGTAGACCTATTATCACTGAAAACTCACTTGTCTTTCCACTAGTTGTTCGCATACTAGTTAGCACTCCTATGTACATATCTCTCACCTAGTCGATATAGTATCTGGAGAGAGAGCCACCGGAAGCTAGCGTTATTACGTTTAGCATAGGTTATGAAGGGTTAGAATAAGAAGTAGATACATGAGGTGGAAGCGACTTGGGAAACCGAGGTAAATAAGTGAATCACTAAGGTTTGTAACCTTTGAATTGTTGAAGTGAAAGGCTACTTCAGAGAAAGAAACATGTTTGGAAATACATCATCATGATCATCATCATAGCCTTATCCCAACTAATTGGGGTCGGCTACATGAATCCTATTATGTCATTGTGTTCTATCAAGGGCCATACCCTCAGTCAGACCATAAGTCAGCATATCTCTTCTCACTATTTCCATCTATATTCTTTTGGGCCTTCCGTTGCTCTTTTAGAGCCTTCTATTTGAACTTTGCCTCCTACCCGATATTGTTATAGGTCGACGCCGCATATGGCTAGCCCACTTGAGTGTACTATCCCTCATCTTACCGCCTATTAGAGCCAACCCTAAGTCCCCTCAAATATATTCTTTTAAAATTGCATCCTTTTTTGTCTTGTCACTCATCCATCTCAATCTCCTCATCTCAGCTACATGTTCTATGGATATGTTATTTCTTGACCGCCCAACATTCCACCCCATACGTACGGCTGGTCTTATTGTCGTCCTATAGAACTTCCCCTTCAATTTCATTGGTGAACGTCGATCACATGTCTGGAACTATATAATTTATCAAATTGCAGATCATAGAATGATAACTTTTTGAGTGGTGCTATATTCAAAAGCACATATTTAAGAAATCGAGACTAAGTTCATTTTTGTAAACTACTTAAAATTTGAATGCAAGCACTTCCAGAAACATAATGTGGTTTCTAACCGATCAGGCACTCAATAGAAGAGTATTACCAAGAATTTTGAATTCTATTGATAAGATAAACAGCAGTCAAAAACAACACTTGCCCGTAAAATATTAGGAACATTGGATTTTAAAGTACTGCATGAGTGGTCTCTATAATATGTCGATTCTTACATTCAGCAAACTCATTTTATCTCAGGTTATGTGGACATACGTGCTGGTGGATGATACCATTATGACTTAAAAGAACTTAGAACTTCTTAGGAGTTGGTCATGAGTTTAATGTTCTCTCCTAAGTCAGCTCGAATCATCTGGTGGAAGGTAACAAACACATCAAAGACATCAGATTTGTTTCTCAGGAAGTATAACTGAGGATAAAACAAGAAAAGGGCCCACACATCAAAGGCATCAGATTTGTTTCTCAGGAAGTATGACTAAAGAAGTCTCCGAAAAGATAAACATAATATCGGAAGCCAATTTTGGATAAAAACAGGTGAAGTCCCATGAATCAGAATGAACGAGATCAAATAGATTCTTCTACTTTCAACTTGCTAACTAAAACTTATGGCATTCTAATTCATTATTGAAATTCTTGGGAAAGCATGTGAAGAAGAATTATCGCCGACTTTACTTCTTGAGCCTATTAGAACCAAGATGACCTAGATGCTTATGCCAAAGTTGCCAATGTGGAGAGACTGAAGTGGTATACTGCAACTGATGAACTGCTACTAACATGCTCCAGAAAGTAATTTACTAAAACAATTACTAATCAGTTTCCTTGTTGAGATTTCCTATATCAGGAAAACATCACAAATTTGATCTGTTAACTAACAAACAACTAGCACATTGATATTTCACTGAGGAACAAACATTGCATTTGACTTCTGAAAAGGATGAGTGTCAACTGAGCCTACTATGCTACTACTGACGTTAGAATCATTAGCAGACAGAGAGATTCTTCGTTCAAAAGAAACTGAAAAGGACAGCAATTCTATATTTCCTGTCATATGACTAGTTGCAGCAGAGTGAAGAACCCAGATAGACTGTGAAAGAAATTGATAATGCATGAGGTATTCTTGACAAGGAAGGGCCTGAAAGTGCTTGAGGAAACTTGTTTAGGTGCCTCCTCAGAAAGAAATCCATGGGACATTAAGCTACTATGACCTAGGTCTGAATTGATTTTGCTGTTAAAAAACTCATGGCACTGGAATGATCTTGAATGATATCCCAAAACTGATTAAAAATCAATACATAATTGTAGATCTGAGAGTAATGGGAGAAACCTCTTTAAATCCTAGATGCATTTGAAACTTTGTTTGATTCTACTTCAAAAACCTCTGACATGCATATTGATGGAATTGGAGGAATTAGAGAAGATATGTAAATAAATTTAGTATTTTGAATGGTTATATAAATATGTACGAGAAACTTGTGCAGAATACTCCCAGTGATTTCCACAATTTCCATATACTGCGTTATTGATGTCTACAGCACTGCTCCAGTGATCACGACAATACTGTTACAGTTCTATTAGAGTAGCACTAAAGTGCTTGCTGCATTAGTTACAAATGATCTCAAACATAGGGTTTTGAGCCGTGAAAAGATCTCGATTTCTTCTATCTATGCTCAAAGATTGATTCTCCACGGAGTATGAACTAATACTTGTATGTTTGGACTTATTTTTGTTACACAATCAAACAGATTGGGGTTTATGATTCAGGCCTCAATCTGACACGATGTTAGAATTAGAGAAATTGGACAGAATTCTCATCACATTAGAATTAGGGATTAATGCCATATAGACAAATGGCTGGGTTATACTGAGCATCTAAATGCCCCTGTACAATAATATGACAAACCTATCATCAATTTAATTAACAATTTACATTTACTAAAACAATACCAAAATACATCTTAGCAATAGTTTGATGGCATTTTAGCCTGATGTGTATGGATATGTTGATACTTCTTGAATGCATGCAAAAGTAGTCTAGTTGGATTAATGAGAACTGAGGATTATTCAAATCTTCATTGTGGAATTTAGTCTAGTGTCAAATCATTTTCTGTGTTTTTTAATGTTCTACGATGCCCTACTTAGGTTGCATATGGTGGTGGCTATGGCACAGAGTTTCTATTTTCTAAAGTAGTCAGTAAGGCCTATATTGTAATTGAATTGTTTCTGGTGTTAGACTGTGTTGACTTGGTGGCAAGGTCATTATCGTTGACCATGTTTACCTTTTTCTTTTTTGAGGAAATTGACCATGTTTACCTTGAAACGCAAGGTGAAACATATTCACAATTTGTGTGACTGAGTATGGTATGTGGTGTGAAGTTGCTTCCAAATTGAGGATAAGTCTAAACTGTCACAGATGGCATTATGCAGGTCTCAAGTTGGTATTATATACATGAAAGAAAAAATTATTCCTGTGGACATGTTGAATGGTTCATGTGCATCTTATGATTATTGGCATTATATGTCTAGTTATTGATCTGTTGAATGAGCTTATTTTGAATCATTTCGTAGTTCTGAACATTTATTTCCTGAATTTCTTGATTTTCTTTTCTTTACTTCACAGAGGATGCTTTGATCTTAGAAACTATTGATTATCTCTCGCTTCTTTCAGGTTTTAACTGATTATGTTGTGCAAGATTTGAATGTCAACCCAAAGCTTCCTTTTGGAGACAATTCGTTTGATGCAATTACTAACGCGGTAGGCAAGCTCGGTAATACTGCCTATGACATGAAAGTTTTCGCACATCTTGCATATTCCTATGTCACAGATGATAGGTTCTTTTATAGTTGATAAAAGTTACATGATGATTTGTGGGCTCCTCTGAGTTATTTCAAATAATGCCATGTCATTGTGCAATAAGAGCATGGCCATCTCAGTAGGGATATGATAAGTGATGATCCTTAATGATATTGGTCATTTCCTCCATGGAGGAGCTCATGCACTGTGGATATATACTCTGGTCAGTTTTTCCTTTGGTACACAGTTGGTCATGGTCATAACTAGATTTGTGTATATGAAAGGGCTACATTGAGCTGCAGGTCATGTTCAAGGAGCCCAAATTTATTGTTCAGGGAGTATATCTTATTGTGGCTATGGTGCATTCTAATTTTTTGAGTAATCCTTCATGTGATTCTTTTCTCTTTTTTTTTTTTTTTCCCCTAAGGATGAAATCTCCGCTTAAGCACTAAATTCTAACCCAAGAAATCCTGAAAATGAGGCAAAGTGATAGACCAAATGAAGAAGAAACGAATTAGCAAATTGGTAATTAATATATTTGAGTAGGATGCTGGGATTTCCAATTCTTGGTATGCCACGATGTACTGAACACGGTTCAAATGTGTGTTTGTTGAAAACTGAAGACAACAAATGGAAGTAATCTGGTCTCTTCTCTGATACCATGTGGAGGAAATAAAAGGGGAAGCAATATTAGAAAAAAAAGACCTGCACATATATCAAACTAAAGGATGGATACTTTCGTTTGATATCCTAAACCTGCTGAAAACCATGTATTGTTCTATGCCATGTAGAACAATGTGTAACATGCATATTATTATTCTGCTTTTCAGTGTGCTGACTTTTATATGGGTATTGCTTCCACAAATACTCCTGAATAATGTTGTAGTGAATGATAAGACTGTCAATGGTCTTTTTAACTCATGTATTTGATTCAGGTTAGTGTCGATTACCTAAACAAGCCAATTGACGTGTTCAAGGAGATGCAAAGGGTTCTTAAGCCAGGTGGTCTTGCAATAATGAGGTGATTCTCACATTCCAGATTCTATACTTTTAAGTGGTCAAAGTGCAACTTGGAAAGGGTTGTTCTTGAGAACTGCCAAAATTTTGTAGGAACCATTTTGCTTTCTTGCTGCTATTCTTATGTTAGATAACTAGAGAATAGTTTTATTTGCAGTTGTTAAAATTCAATGCAATGAAACTAGATATCCATTAATGAGTCCTGTACAGTTAATTTGCTCACGCCCAAAACCCCCACAATGGTATTTGTTTTTGTATCTCAAATTTCATGCTCGGCATGCCTGTTTTTTTTTTGTTTTATCTCTATCTAATGCTATTCCATAAAATGCTTACAGCTTCATAACATTGTGGTAAATCTTGTTTAACATTTTAGTTGTTGATCTCGAACAATTTGTTTGTTATGAAGCTTTACCATATCTTATGTTACATAGATCTCCTTTTTCTGACAATGAGGAAATCAAAGTTGACATGCTTTTGGTCTAATTTGCTTGTATTGTCTGCGTACGGGGCTGTTGTTTCGACATTTAATTTTATGAATTCTATTCAGTTTCTCAAATCGTTGCTTCTGGACAAAGGCTATCTCCATATGGACCTCCACGGGTGATGTCGATCATGTTTGGATTGTTGGTGCTTATTTCCATTATGCTGGTGGTTTTGATCCTCCTGAGGTATGGTTACTACTCAAGGTGATGGGATTATATTGTTTAATTCTATGCGATGTAGTCCTTGATATGTGTAGTACCTTAATATCTCGACCGTTGAGACTCTTTCATTGACAATGGAGATGATCTGAATCTTTGCTCCAACAATGGCATATTTTGACAGATCACAAACATCACTTATGTGGTAAGCCACTGGCAGTCCAAGAAGGGTGGAGATCATGGTCTTACCCTTTTCATGTAGGACTGGGTGTCATATTCATTTTGCTATGAATTATGCTAGAGTTTGAGTTGATATTCCAATCGAATGTCCTTGTCAGATAAGGGAATGATAGCATTTTTCCTTGGAGCACCAGACTTGGTGTACCCGCTCCTCAGAAACCATCCCTTGAGGTGTGCGAGGAACCCAAAGGTGCTCCAAATCCTGTCTGTGTCGGTGTCTTCAAAATTTGATTAGATTTGGAACTCAAATCTCCAAATCCCCTAAGTTTCGCTCCATACTTGATTTAGGGGTGGATTTGGAGCATTTTATATCTCTGTTTTTTTTGTTTAGATAAACGGTGTAGGATGATTTTGAACCTTTTTGTGCCCCTCAAACACCTCAAAAGTGGTTATTCTTGAGGTTGGGGAACATCGAGTTATACTAGCATTCCTCGTCAAATGATGGTTAGTTATAATGACTAGGAAACTTATGTTTCTAGAATATTCTTTAAGCATCTTTCGATCATTATGTTCCTCAAATAAACTACTAATCTTTGTCGTACTTGAGGTATTTGTATGTGATGCTCAACTCATTTAGTTATTCGATTTTCCAAGTAATTATCAGATATGCTAAGTTCCATGTGTAAGTTTGGTTATGATTTCAACATTGTAATTGATCCATATGTCTACAAAATGTATCCACTGTCAGTTTCATTATAATTCTATCTGCATTATTATTCTATCTGCAGGCACTAGATATTTCTCCTAACCCTGGGCGCTCAGATCCAATGTACGTTGTGTATGCACGAAAATTGGCTGCTTGAGCATGTATGCATCAAACTCTGCTACCTCATATCATAAGCCAACTTGGATGCCTTCGCATTTATTTATTCTATTATTTGTAAATAGGAAGAGAAGGAAAAGGGAGATAATCCTCAAGAGGGGTGCTACTCATCACTTTTGTGGTGAAATGTAGATCGACACTGAACTTTCTTCTTCACTTGTTGGGGAAATTCATTAATAGTTGGTAATTTGGACTTTTGAAAAAAGTTTATACCTTTAAGTGTAGCAGATTCTTTGTTATCTTTTGTTTCAAAAAAATTGTAACTTTTCCAGTAGAAAAAGCTCAAAAAGGATTCTGTGACAGACAAACCAGGTGGCGGAAGGTACACAGAGAAGGCTATTGGACTTATTCAATGGAAGAACTCTACACATACCCAAGCAATGTAGGTTATAGTGAGTCCTAAAACCTAACATGTGTAACGACACTTGGAGCTGAAGTTTCCACCTCATACATATGAGGTGAGGTGAAATGTTCATTAAAAATATGATAAACAGTGTAAAGAAGAATTGCATATTTATTTAGTTATTTTGACAATAGAAAATAGTCTCTTGGAAGGACTTAGGTATAGGGTCACAAACCTATCGGTGTTTGATAGATATGTGATTTATAGCAAATGGGCTCATCAAACCTTTCTGATGTAGGCAAACCTATTTGATGTAGGCAGTGATTCAAAAAGCGGACTTCGCCTAGAGCCTAGCCGGCCGTCTAGGTGGTCTAGAAATCTTGACGCATCGTCTAGGCCTAGGCGGCAGATTGGCCGCGTAGGCGGTCCAGAAATCTTGGGCGCATCGTCTAGGCCTAGGCGGCCAATCTGGGCGGCAGTCTAGGCGGTACGAAGCCCGCCTAGGCGGGCATGCCGCCAAGAGGGGGAAATTTTTTTTCGTATTGATTTTTTTTTTTTAAAATATTAAAGGTTAGAAGGATGATTTTAAATTCATTTGAAACTTAAAACTTATTGGAATATTTTAGAGAGAGAAAACCTCTAACAACCTAGTTTTTAGTGATTTTAATACCTAATTTTACTCAAATAGGCATCTTTTTTGGATTCGACTAGGTACAATGAAGAGAGACATACCGTGCTCTACGGAGTTGGGAGCCATGACCCTTGCTAGCTGCTTTAACGTAGTTTTGGTACACTGTGAGATGACCTTCAAATGGAAATATCAACTCCAAGCCTTTGCATTTGCCCTTTTGACTCGTTTCTTCGCATATTACCATATTATGTGACATTGAAATCCATTGTCTACACTAATATAGAATTGAATTTATGTTCCTCTGTTTTTAACTTAGCAAAAGTCTGGAAAATAAAGTTGTGTTGTAAGAAACTAACATTGTGAAGGGTCTACTCAAGCAAAACCCATTCAACATCGGTCGAACACGTTAGAATGGATTTCAAGAAATTATAAAAACTAAGGTCGAAAACCTAAGATAAAGGAGGCCTATATAATAGAGAATTTCATGTTTATAAACGAGTTTTATCACTAGCAATGGGCTGGGCCTAGCCAGGCTAGGGTTGACTCGCTTGGGCCCCAAATGGCTAGGTCCCGTTAGAACCATGCTAAAACAACCCTTGCGCAAGTCCAACCTAGCTCTTGGGTAGTTTGGCTCACCTGGCTCAATTGAAGTTATTGAATGTAGGGTTGAGAATGGTTTGGATAGGGTTTGGATCCACCGGCATCTAGATCTAGATTCAAAAAATATACATGGAATCTAGATCCGGACCCAATTGGATCCAAAATATGCAGATCTAAGTATGGATCCGAAAAGTATACATGGGACCCAGATTTAGATCTGGACCCGGTTGGATCCAAAAATATTTATATATGTGTGTGTCTGTGTGTGTGAAAAATACTATGCAACTCCTATAGGTGAAAATGAACAGTGATTTCGCTTATGCTTATCACCGTCCATAGTTCATCGCATGATCAAAGTTGTCTGATAGTATTTTAATTTTTATTTTATTTTTATAAATCAAAATGATATGAAATTTGGAACTCATATTCTTAAAAAATAGGAGAATCTAATAAAAATATAAAAGAAATAATTCATAATATAAATTGACCAAAATACCTTTGAAAATTTACCTGGGTGTTTTGGTCAATTTATATTTTGTGAAATACTTTTTTCATATTTTTATTAGGTGTGTCTCACTAAGATGTATATACGTTTCAAATTTCAAATTATTTCGATTTATAGAAAAAAATAAAAATTGAAATACTGCCAGACAATCGTAACTGTGCGATGAACTTTGGACGGAGATGAGCATAGGTGAAATCATGATTCATTTATGCATATAGGCGTTGGGAAGACTTATATGGAACAAAATATGTGAGGTTCGCGTTGGTATCCAAAATTCCTTGATGAGTTTCTAATTCTTGTATTTATAAGGCATCCTACCACGACATTTTACATGCGAACCACAACTATCCTATGCCGTGAAAAAAAGAGTCACAATGAAGTAGTAATCAAAATAAAGAGAAACAAAATAATGTAGCGCTGCAATATAGGATTATTTTGTCATTCTAAAATATTGAAAAATCCAATAAAATAATATAGTTAGAATTTAACCACATACTGACACATATATAATAAATAAAAAAAATGACACCCTTCCACACCCATGCGAGTAAGACCTCAAATGATCACTATTAAATTTTGACACAGTTCTTTAGAAAAGTAAAGATATGGATGTGGGACTTGGGTGAATGGGTTTTCTAGATATCTGTGTCAAAATTTAATGGTGATCCTTTGGAGTCCTAATGACATTGGTGTAGGAGGGTCTCATACTATCATTACTCATATAATAATTACTTTCAAAAGATACAAAAAAAGATTCTAAGAACTTGTATAGTTTTCTTTCACAATAATGGAATTACTTGATCCTATTGAAAACAACTAAGATTATAGACATAATGAATGTGTCAAAGACATAGGACTAGAGAAAGATTGGGGTCAAATAGATATTTCAGATATAAATTCAATGCTTACATTATTAGAAATTCATCATTTCCATGATTTGAAGAAAATTAAATGTAATCCTTGTGACGCATGGGTTAAGAAAGCTAGGGATAATGATTAGAGAGACATAAATTGGTCAAAGATATAGGGAAAAATAGAGGGAAAAAAAATAAGGTTGAGGATTGAAGTGAGTTGAGAAGAGATAAATCATAATGAGAATTTTTGGGTAAATAGATAAAAAAGATAATTACTCATATCTATGTGATTTTAACTTTGAAAAGTACATATCCAAGCTAAAAAAAGTTTGAGAGAATTACTAGTTAGATTTTATCCAATCAGGAAAAGAATGTCCAAATTGTTCCAAATTAGACAATAATAAAAAGTCTAAATTATGATGCAAAACAAAAGTGAAAGGAAAATAAAAGATAGAAAAATAACTATTAATACCAAAAAAAAAATACAAAAAGGGGAAATAGGTTCAATGATATAAATCTCATATTTCTAACTTTTGTAAATTGTATTAAGAGATGTTTAGGATTTCAGATATTGTTTATAATTAGTGGCATGGAGAGGGAGGGAGGGAGGGAGGGAGGGGGAGAGAGAGAGAGAGCTGTTGGGATCTATAGGCGAAAAATCAGCAAGGGTTTATAACATTCGCAGCTATTGGGCATTCATATCAATATAAACAAGCAATGAAAATTACACAATATCAAAGTAAGAACGTGGAATGAAAAATCCAGCAACATTCAATTCACATAGCATAAAGATTTAATGTGATTCGGTCACAAATCGTGACCTATATCCATAGGAGAATGGTGCGTTACTTTACTTACTAATTTGAGAAGATTACAAAGTCAAATTGAGCACACTTTTTCTCATTAAAGCAAGACACACAACAAACCCACAATGGAGTTCAAGCCTTTTTCTCATAGCAAACCCACAATGGAGTTCAAGCCTTTCGCTCACTTTCTCTCTCTAAAATAGAGCATACCAAACTCTCAAGAGAAAAACCAACTCAATCTCTCTATCTTTTTCTCACTCTTTTTCTCTAAACAAAAGGGTTTTAATCCCTTTAAAAGAGTAAAGTTCCTACAACACCACAACCGTTGGATTAGATGCAACCCAATGACCCAAAATAAAAGAGAGTAAAGTCAAATAAAACTCCCATATGTGTGATTTGTTTTCACACATGTGACAATCTCCTATTTGAAGACAAATCACAAAGTCTCTAGAATAATCACCAACGCATCACTCTCCTTCCACCCAAGGTTACGTCTCCTTCAACCCCGAAAGTCTTCTACACATCATATTCTTTTCAGTTGAGACAACTTTTGTCAACATATCAGCAATGTTCTTCTCAGTATGAATCTTGTCCACTTGCAAATCTCTACGCTCGGGGGCCAACCGAATAAACCAACCGAATAAAATGATATCTAACCTCTATATGCTTTGTCTTGGAGTGATAAGCTGTATTTTTAGCCAGAGGAACAACACTCTGATTATCACAATGCACGACATATTTATTCTGTTTCACCCCAAACGAGCTAGGTAACCTTCTCAACCAAATCATGTCCTTCGCTGCCTCAGTCAATGCCACATACTCTGCTTCATTTGATGGTAATGTGACAATATCCTGCAATCTTGACATCCAGTTGATTGCACCACCATCAACATTGAAAATATATTCAGTGGTAGACCTTTTAGTATCACGGCATCCTGCATAATCTACATTTACATAACCAACAACTTCCAATGATGAATTTCCAAAACACAAGCATACATTTCGTGTCTCCTTCATATTGAAGAATCCACTTAACTGCTTGCCAATGTTCCTAACATAGATTAGACATAAATCTGGAAACAACTCCCATTGCATAAGCAATGTCAGGTCTAGTACAAGCCATTGCATACATCAAACTATCCACTACAGAAGTATATGAACATTATTCATCTTATTTCTATCTGCCTTGTTCATTGGAGAGTCCCTTTTAGACAAATTGAAATGTGCAGCTAATGGCATAGAACATGTTTACAATCAATCATATTAAAGAGCTCAAGAAATTTAGAAATATATTTAGATTGACATAACCAACGCTTACCTTGCTTTATGTCTCTATGGATGTGCATGCCCAAAATCTTCTTGGCTGGTCCAAGATCCTTTGTGGCAAAATGCTTGGACATATCAAGCTTTAAACACTTGATTTCACTCAAATCATTGCTAGCAACAAGCATATCATCAACATAAAGCAACAAATTAGTAAAAGAATCACATATTGAACCCTTGAAGTACACACAATGATCAAAATCGCATTTAGAATAACCTTCACGCAAATATAAAACTGTCAAATTTCTTATACCATAGCTTAGATGTTTGTTTCAAACCATGCAATCCATTTTTCAACTTGCAAACCAAGTTAGAATTGGTTTTGTTCTCAAAACCTTCATGTTGACACATTTAAATTTCTTCATCAAGATTTTCATGTAAGAAGGTAGTTTTAATATCAAGTTATTCTAGCTCCAAACTAAAGTTAGCAACCAAAGATAAAACAACTCTAATAGAGCCCAGTGATGGAGGTAA